GGTCATTCCCATGTCGTTCCCTTCGGGTCTACCTTCCGGGACCCAGCCAACACGTGCTGCATTTGTGGTTAAGGATTTTTCCTGGTTTGATCCCTCGAGACGGTGCCTTGAAGCCGGAGAACCTCGGGCACTGCCTGTGCGCATCCCGGCTCGGCAGCACCGCTCACGGCACAGCACTAGATGGGGCTGCGCGCCCGCTCCTCATTCCCGGTCCCGCTGCAGATGGGAAATGCCTCCCGAAGCTTCAGCTGGAAGCAGAGCCCAAGCTGCATTTACTACCCGCTGGGAGCCCTCCTTGGCGCTACTTTCATGGACCACTTCACCGAATTTGCTTTTACACCACGGCGTAAATTTCAGCATCTCTGTGAGCCTCCAGGTCGGCTATCGGGCACTGGGACAGCTCTTTTGGTACCTATGTATTTAAAATCATTGGAATTTCTAATACAGCCTGAGCCGTTTTAAGCAATGGATGGGCATGTCCCTTTGCAGCAGGAGGCTCCAGTCCAAGCCACCCTCAAGTGTCTCCCCAAGCTGCAGAGCTACAAACTCACATTCAGTTTCTTTCATCTGTGTAAAAAAAAAAAAAAAAAGCAAATAGCAAAAGCTGTAGGTAGTACCATTTCTGAATTTTCCTTCCTCTGAGTCAAAGTCTCCATTGACCAAGGTCGGGGTACCTGAGAGCTGCTAAGGGACCTGAGTGTCTGACTCTGCACCTGTGTCCCTTGCCTAGCACAAATCAGCCTAAATCAGGCTTCCAAGGAAGAGCCAGGAGCACAGTGTAGGTGCTAGATGGGTCATAGAGTAGGTTTAGAAAATAGGCCTGATAAAACCAGACAACAGAAGCAATACCAGGCATTAGGCTCTCATGACCACACAGAGGAAAACCCATTGGGGTTTTGAGCTAAGCCATGATCTGACCCAATAAACTGCCTCTGTAAATAGGAAAAGACTTGCTTAAAAATAACTCCAGACCTCTCTCCTGAGCCATAAAATGGAAAATGATCACGATAATATTGATACTCAACTGCTAGAATGAACCAACTCTTCTTTCTTTTTGAAGATTTTGCATTAAAAAAAAGGCATGATATGAACAACTATGGTAACCTGTATGCTTCCTTCTTGGACACAGGGGTCATAAACCTGCTCAGGACCCACATCCTGATCTTTTCCTGCATGTACATTAACACCAAGCCCTGAAAAGCCACACCAGCTGCTTTTCATGAGCATCTGCTCTCCTCAGCAAAAAGAAGTTGGCCAAAATTTTTTGTTGAGGTATTTCATGGTCATTACAGCAGGATGAAAGGCCCAGGCACACAGTGACATAGAGGGTCAATCCTGGCAGCTGTGGTCCTGCTGCACACAGTCCTGAGGCTGCACTCATATGTTCAAATGAAATGTGGATATTCTTGCCTTCTCCAGCCCACCACTAAGGTCCTGGTTCCATGCCTCTCCAGACCTCCTTATCTCAACCCTCCCCCCCACCACATCCCTTGTTTCCCCAAGTCCTTTTCTTGGCTTTCTCTGCTGCAGTCACTTTAACTCTGCAGCTAATTCCAGCCAATTTGGCACAAAACATTTCCACCTGAAATTCTACAGCTGATCAGCCTTGAGAAGAGACCAGAGAGACACAGCCCTGTGTGGCACACAGGAGTACTCAAAGTGGGAGAGAACAGAGTAAAACAGAATTAAAAATCCAAAATTATATTGATGGTCAAAAGTAAAGGAAGCTGAACCAAAAGAGATGCAAGGGAAAAAACAATCAGTAACAATTCAGCTCTCACAGAGTTAAAAGTGTTAGAGTTCTTTGCAGCTTCTCCATCAGCTCCACCAGGTCCTCACATCTCATCTATAACTCAGCCTGAGGTGGTGGAGAAGTAAATCCAGTTTATGCAAAATGGACTTTTATTTTTCAGCTGAGATCAGGCAGAAAAAGGCTGGAGCAAGTGACAAATTTGCAAATAACCTTGTGTCTGCTTCCCTCCAGACTGGCTTACATGCTAAAGGCCCAAGCTGGGGCTCAAGAACTCCTTAAGCAACAGAATAATTATTTTACCTACACATTAGGAAATCAAAGATCACTGAGAGGGAAGCGTGTGATGCTCAGCCCTGCAGCAGCTGCTTGAATTTCTAATTTTCCTTTGTCAAAGAGATGGGGGAGAAAAAAAGGTTGTTTTTCTATGACTTGCCCACCACTTTCCACCACGTTCTAGCTGAACCCTTCCAACAAGTAACCTGACCACTGCTGAAGCCATTCCGTGCAACTGGAAGCGCCTCCTTCCAAAGGCCAGGGCTCCTCACTGCCCACGAGGAGGGAGCAGGAGTGGCTGCACTGAACAAGGAGGCTTTGTTCTCCTCTTTGGCATATGTAGGAGCTTGGGAAGAAGTTGCTTTTGGCCCAAGCACAGGAGAGGGAGGCTGTGAAAACAAATGACCAGGCAGATGACCCCAAAAGGGAGGTGAACTACCTACGTTCAGCCCTGCTGAACCCTCCAAGCATGAGCAGCTCTAATTCCAGTTCACAGGCTGGAAAATGCAAGTGTTAACAGGCATCAGAATTTCAATCAAGATTCTGTCACAGGTGTGTTTTTTGTTAAACCACAAAGAGGTGATGCATAAGTGGTTGGACAAGAAGAAAAGAGTAAATCAGCCGGAACAAGCAGGCAGCTGAAGAGAATAACAAAATAGATGGGCCCAGCCTCTCCACTCCCTCACCTGAAAACACGGTCCTGTCAATTCCTGGCTTTGCACATTCATATAAACCACAGGAGCAGTCACAGCACAGTTGATTTAGCTCTTTCCTCCTTCCTTGACCGTCAGCGGCCACTGATGCTGTCATGTCCTTGAGAGAGTCAGTCACACAATAGTTTGCATTTCAGCTTGTGAGGAACACATACCAGGTCCCCACCAAAAGATCCCTTGTCATCCTTTAAGGAAGGCATTTTATTGTGTTGAGAGTCTTGTTGCTTTTAGCACATGGGTGCAATAAGCTGTACACAGAGAGGAGCAAGGAATACAGGTGGAGCTTGAGCAGAAGGATTCCCTCATGGCAAGGTACAGGTCCATCACCAGCACAGAGCTATGAGCCACTGCAGCTCCTTCCCAGGGAACAGTGGGGAGGATTATACATGTATAAAATGCAGTAAGTTTTGCAGCACACCTTCCCTTCTGCTGGAGACTTGCTGGATGGAAATGCAACACTCGATACCCCTTTGTAATTCACACCAACCGTGGGCACATGGGTGGGTGCTTCAGTCCCTGCTCACAGGGTTGTTTTAGGGAACATAAAATGGCCAGAGAGGCAGAGGGTGCCAGAGACTATGGCAAGAAAAGCACTGTTTGTGTGCCCAAGAAAGGCGATTAGAGACACAAGGGTTTAGTCATGGTGTGACTAAGCCCCACAGGGCCTCAACATGTGGGCTTCTATCTTCCAGCACCTCAGGAGACCTGGGACAAAGGTGATGCCAAATGACTCAAAGCTGTTTTCACCACGGTGAACCTACATTTGTCTGTAAACATAACCCTGAGAACTTCAGGAACTTTCAGGTCATGACCTGGGCTACTGCAAGAAAGTAAATGTTCCCAGAGTCAGGTGGCTGCAGAACCAAAGAGGTTGCATTTCACAGTGGAGCTTAGCTGTACATCTTCACACACCTTCTTCAATTCATATTTTAATCTGGTCATATATCATTTTGGTCAGTGGTTTCTTCAACACTGCCTAACTCTTCAACAGTATTTTTAAATATCATCATATTCTTCGGTTTTCCTGGGATTTATCTCAACCCTAACAGGCAGGATTTTGCCACTGGGTTGTTTTTAAAACATAAGCAAGGTTGTTCTTTCCCAGAGCCCTCATTTTAGATGACAGCAACAAATATTAGTTTGTCATCATGTACATCCGATTTATTTATTAAATAATAAAAGAGCTATGTGCAATACCAACATCTTAAGTATGTTTGATATTAGGAAAGAAAAGAGCCTTTCCAGGCAACAGAAACTTCAGAGCCAAGATCCAGGTGCTGGTAAGATCAAGTATTTGTATAAAACCTTGCTGCTGGCACGCAGCATTGTGTCAGAGCTGTTCTTAACAGAGGTGCGTGAGCTCTCTCTTCATGTGCCCTTGGCACAGGCAAAGAGGTCACACTCACACTACACAGCTGCCTCCTCTGGTGCCTTCCCATTTCCTGCTGGAGTTCCAACTGCAGCACGAGAGCTGGAGCTACCAGCACACATCCACCCGCTGGAGAGGCTGAACTGCTCTTCAGCTCCTTATCTCAACAGACCCTACAAGCTCAACACCCACTTTCGATGCCAACTGGTCACAGACTGCAGCCACCCTTTCTGGCACTTCCACAGTCAAGCAGCTCTTTATGTCTCCTCGTGCAACTTCCTGCACGGAAACCATGAAAAAATTCAGCATCAGAACAGGTGAGGCACATCCATGACTGTGGTATCTCCTAAGCAGAGAGTTACAAAGAAGAATTCCACGTGGAACACAATGGCTTTACCACAGCTCCCTAACTCCTTGCTGACTTTTTAACCAAACACCATTAAGGCTTATCTACAAGGGACGATGCAGACTCTTTGCAGAGCATAAGATGTGTGACACAGCACCAGAGATACACAGAGCTTTGGTTCTCACCTCCAGCAAGGCTGAAGCACAGACCAGAAGCTGCAGTCTGTTTCCACCACTGAGGGAGACACATCCTTGAATTTAAGGCCACTGTTATAACCCAGTCCGAAATACTCTCATCCACATTAACTTCAAAATGCTGGAAGCCTACAGTATGATCAGTGTTGAGATGGATTCTCTCTTCCAGGCACCAGACAGATAATTCCACTGACAGGTATTAAAAAGGTATAAATGAACTTAGAAAGAGTTACCAGCTACTGCCTCCCCGTGAGTGCCTGGGATTGCATCAAGACTTTCAATTGCACCAGTGAGACATGTAAAGTCCTTAATAAAGGAGAAAGAATAAATAGCAAACTGAGCGACAAACACATAAATAGAAAGTGGTTTCATCAGTTTATTGCTTTTTGCTGCCACTTCACAGAGAGTCGAGTCCACGCAGGCACATTCAAAGCAGCACACACAACCATGGAGAACAAGGTTTTATCACAAGCCATAAAACTCACAGGAAAACAATCTAATCCTACATCAACATAATCTGAGAATTTCACAGTAAATACAGCATCTCCCAAAAGCTATTGGCATTTACATTAATCAACCTGATTATTTTTAAGTTGCTGAATAAAGCAAACTGGTGAGGGACCCAAGTGCTCAGAAACACATACTTTAGGTGTATTCAGGACATCCCCCCAATGCACATATTCTGAAATCTTCCAAATTTTCACTAATGCTAAATGAAATTAAGGTATTTTGCTTCCAGTTTAAATACCAGGAGAAAATAATTTTAATTTTGATTTGCATTTTAATATATTAACTAAAAGGATATTTGTATAAAACTCTTCACACATGAAATACTTTTAAATTAAACAATATATTACACTTACAGGAAAAACATACACTAGAAATTTATTGCTAGTGTAAAAATTAAAGTTTCTCATGGAGGAGGAGGCTGGATTAATATGATTGCTAAGAACACAGACAGTGTCAGTGACAAAAACTTCTGATTTTCAAATTTGCTCACCACCCACAGCTGGCTTTCAAGGACACGTAGGTACATGGGAATTATGAAAGATGAGGTCCACAACTTTCTCCAGAGTTATGCTTTATGAGCTGATGTCATTTCATTGCCTTTTAGAGTAACAGTGAGAATCAGTCTGCTGCATTCTAATGTCATTGTTCACTAGATCTTCTCTTCGTGGAATAAAAATAACAAAACACAACCTCCCTAATCTTGCATTTTGAAACTTTAGAACTACAACTACATTCATATCTTTGCCCATAACAAAAGGAAAAGTGGGAACGTTCACCATGTGAAGAGTCCATGATTATGAACAAAGTTTCTAGGCCAACCTTAGATCAACTTGCTAAAAAGCTTTCACTTCCAAAGAAAGCCTCTTTCACATAGTGTAGATTAAGCAACACCACTAGTCAGTGCAAACAGTCATATCTAACACTCAAGTAGTTACAAAATAAAAATGAATGCCAAAAGTTGCTTACAGATCTGCACAGCCCAGTGTCTTTGCAGTGGACTGATTTCCATTCACAAGAACATATCTGTAGCTTTCTTCTCTTTCCTTTTTAAATATGCTGTCTTCAGCAGTTACCTGGCTTGTTACTAGATTATACTGCTTTCTCAAAGTGATTTTCTTCTTTACTTATACACACTCACCCAATTGCTGACTTAAAAGTTCCTAGAAGACCAACAACTCTACCTCCTCCTTCAATCCAACAGTCAACACTAGAGTTCATAAGGGTTATCAGCATTGCAAACTATTAAGGTGATGATATCTATAATTAATTACTTAAAGATCATAAAATCAACCAATGGAAATTGTAACCTAGTCATAGATTCTATTATTGCTAAATAATTCCTACAAACTGGTGTTTTACAGAACCAGCAATCCTCAATTCACTCAAAAAAAAAGGGGGCAGATTTTGTATTAATGCCACTTCTTTAACTGGGGTAGGATTCTAACCCAATACATTAATACATCAATGATTTTGATATCAATCATGAATGCCAAGGTACTCACTACTCGGTTGTTGCCACAACAATTCCTTTTCCTTCAACTCCATTCCCGCGTTTCTCCTTTGCACCAAAAAAATTATTAGCACTAAACCAAAAGAATATAAATATTTGAGGGGGGAACACAATGCTCAAGTTCAAGTAATGAAAGACTTCAGAAGCACACGCCCTTCTTTTCATGGTATGCATGAAAAGGAGTCAGACACCAAGAACTGGAACAACAAAGACAGGAGTTCAGTGGAAAACAACACTCGGGTGCTGTTAGACAATTCAGGCCAGCGATGTGCGTTCCACATACATCTGAAAACAAAAAAATCTGCTTTTATTCAGACAACTTAAAACATTTTAAATACATTAAACACATCTCTCAACTCCAGGTCGTATTTACACAGCTATTCACAAAAATGTGCAAAGTAAAACCTGACAAAATTAATTTACAAGTCCAACGAACTGAACGCGACATTAAAAAAAGGCAGCAGGGATTCCACGTCCATTTTATATACACTTTAAAGAACTAAAGATTGCAAAATGGTTGATCTGGAAATATAACAAGTCCTGTCCATGCTGCACGTCAGTCACTAGCTGTCTTTGCTGCAGAATTCACAATGTATCCCTCCAGTGAGGTCTTTGACAACTTTTTCTTTGATCAGCTTTTGCAGGAATTTTGTTTCGCTTGTCACATTGTGCATAGTTTGTCCGTTCATGGCAGCCATGCAGAGGTTGTTGTAATAGTGCAAAGGTGTGCTGGGCTGGTCCAGGTCATATCCAAATCCTGCTATGCTAACTTCATCACACAGATGTGTGGCCAGAACAACCGCTGTGACCCCGATTGTAGGTACGTTCTGAAAAAGGGGGGAAAGTTAAGTTTGTTCAGTTCAAACATACAGTTTTTTTATAAAAGCACAGTTTTTGTAAAACATTTTACACAATTTAATGGCTTGGTCTATTCCCTCTGCTCATTTAAAACTGAAATCAATTAATCAGTTAAAACTAAAACTAAAAATCAATTCAATGATCAAGTAAAGCTAAATACTCCAGGGCAAAATACCAATACAACTTGAGTATTTGCCTTTAATGAGGCTTTTGGCTGTCAACACTGAGTTTTTTTTCTGTGAAGACAAGATGCCCTCTTACTGTGTAGTTAAACTGCAAGTGAACCCTCGCTCCAAACACTCAAACAACTCCTGACATGCCGTTAAACTTGACATTTCTTGAGTTACACTTATTTCAGTCTTGAGCAACAACAGGCTCTCTAACAAACAGTATTCTTCAGAATACGACTTTTCACTGAACGACCCGCGAAGAAGGCAAATATACTACGATACAATTAAGATACATACCTTGGTAAGTTATGTTATTCTGAAAAATAAATGTAAGAAGATCCTTCAAAGATTTGTGCAATGATTAGATGTCTTCTCACATAGTTCAAGAGAACTAGTGACAACCAATTCCTCCAACACATAATTAAAATAACAAAAATGCAGTGTAAAATTAAGCCAGGCAATTCATCACTCTGTACTACTGCAGGAGCAAAGGACGTGGAGGGAGGATATTCCCATCAGTTGCTACTGAGTACTCTGCACACACTGCATTTCCAACAGCTGCAAGGTTGCTTTAAACTGGCCTGGTTTTCATACTCTCTCTGCTTTCCCTGCAGCTGGAGACACATCTGCCCACAGCTGATGGCTGGTTTGCCTTAATGGCACTGTTTGTAACACACTTAACATATATCAAACGTGTGCTTTTGAGTATTTCACATCAGTCACAAATATGTGTGAGTGAACACACTCTACTGGAGTGAATTTATGTCTCACAGCATCTGAATGTCATTTCATGTCAGCAGGCACAGGCATAATACCTCATCTAAAAAGGTCAGCTGAAATCTTACTTTGATTTTGCACGAGAAAATACAAGAGTCTTTTGAGAGCACATAATCTCCCTATTAGTTGAGACTAGTTCTGAAACTGCACTGTTTGATTCACCTTGTATTTTACCGTCTCCCTCTGGTAAAAGGAAACCTCTTACCTTATCCCAACCCCAGAACTTTGATCGAGGCTCAGGGAACTGTAAGATGTCCAAAGCTGTCTCTTTGATAATGACTGGATTTAGAATCCGAAACTGCTTTGATGTAAAAGGAATTTTCTCAGCAACCTCCCTCCAAAAGAAGAGTCGCACCCACAGAGGCTAAAGGGAATAAAAAAATACAGTTCAAAGGGAAACTCTGAGACAGACTCAGTAGCCAATACAAGTTACAGAATTCACCAGGGAGTCTGAAAAATTCAGGAAACAGTTTATGACTAAGGTGGTTCAGAAATACCAGCTCAAGTGACTGACCCAAAAGAGGAATATCTTCAAAGTATTTGGAATTGCAGGGAGGACAGCAGAGGGAAAAGTTGTTTATTCTGAACATTTGGCTGCACTTTGTGTTAATCAGTCAACATATCCACCAGCACCCTCAGGTTCTTTGGGCCTTCCCCAGCACAACTGAGCAGGCAGCAGCATTTAAAGAAATGAGGAAGGGAACCACAGTTTTCCACAAAGATTAACCAGGCATTCTGAAGAAAGCACTGGATTTAAAACAATTGTGCTCAGGCTTTGAAGAGAAGAGCTGCTGTTTGACACCATCCAGCTAGTGATAAATGTAATACTTTAGAAGAGGATTTACACAGGAGTCAGAAAGCTAGATTCTGATCTCATGCCACTGCAATCAATTAGATACCCACTAATGGAAGAAAAAATACTACAGCACACTCATTTTACAAGTCCATAAAATGAGTAGCATTAAGCAAATGACAAAACTGACAGAGCTGCAACATAGACCTATATTTTTTTAAACAGGCTTTAAGGAATAGAAGCTTAAACTGATCAAATACAGGTTGTAACAGTTCCTATCTTTCCACCCGTAATCTGAATCAGTTCACTACAGTACCAGTGCCTGCACAGAGAGCTGAGCCAACTGAAAGATGAGTATTTGAAAGAACTATATTTGCTGTTCACAAAATCACAGAGCCACTGAAGTTGGAGATGAAGCGATCCAACCCCCCTGGCTCAAGCAGACACCCCGAGCCAGATGCTCAGGACTGCATCTGGATGACTTTTGAGAAAGATATCCATGGATATTCAACTCCACAAGCTCCCTGGACAACCTGTGCCAGTGCTCAGTCACCTTCCTTAAGGTTGAAAAAAAGTTTTTTTAAAAAAAAAGTGTTTCCTGATGTTCAGAGGAACCTTCCAGTGTTTCAGTTTGTGCCCACTGCCTCTTGTCCTATCACCAGACAACACTGAAAAGAGCCTGGCTCCATCCTCCTCAGACTTTCCCCTCAGATATTTATGTACTGTAACAAGATGTTATGAGCCTTCTCTTCTCTAGGCTAAACAGTCCCAGCTCTGTGAGTCACAGTAGAGGTGCTCCAGTCCCTTAAGCATCATCGTGGCTCTTCAGTGGACTCTCTCCAATATGCCCATTCCCAAATCAGATGCTGGCTCTGCATCAGCAAAAACAGCAAAGCAAGGAAGAAATGTGGGAATGAGCTGATCTGCTCCTAAGCCACACAAAACAAGTACAGGTACTCTTTTCAAAAAGCACACGCTCCCAACATGTAACTCACTAACAGAGGATGCTGCAGATGCCCAAAAGCAGCCATTCTTTCAATCCCTTCCACAAATTTTAATACAGAAAGCCAGCCTTGTACTAGTCATTCTTCAAGACCAAACCTTAAAACATGAAATAGCCAGAAAGCTTATAAAACAAGAAAGTTAGGAATCCAACTCAAGTTACAAAGCTGCTGGTCATCAAAATTACCACACTGCTGCAGGGAAGGTCACAGACGAACACTGTCTTGCCCCCAGTAAGAAAAAAAAAAAAAAATTTAAAAAAAAAATCAGGAAGCAGAAGTTCTTCAATTTGCACAAATTCATGGATTCAGGAAAATCTCCTCTCTGCAAAACATGCTCAGATTATTAAAAACAAGGCAATATTCCTCACACACACTCCCTGGACTAAAGTAGTAGTAGTAGTAGACAGCCATGGCCAATATTAAACAGACCTTCCCACATGATCCCATATTGTAAAAATCACAGAATTAAGAAGGGAATTTGGAGTACCTAAACTAGCATAGATCAAACAGTTAAAAAACTTGGCAGGCTTTCTCCTAAATCTCTCTCAATAATTTAGAGTGTTTGTTTTCAATTTGTGGTCAGAGAAACCTAGCTACCAGTTTTCAACTTGCAGAAATTATCTGCCTGCAAATTGAAAGAGGTGGAAGCCACCAATTCAAAGTTAATTTGGAAATATGAAACCCTTTCTATCAGTTCCTTAGCAATCTCTGCACTTCTTTAAATATTCAGTTCGAGAAATAAGCAACCTCATCATTTTAGAACTACAGTCAAATGTTCAATCACATGTTTAACTGCATGTATGCCTGTTGTAGCAGTACAGGCTTTAGCTGTTAAAAAAAAAATGAGTTGGCATTCAGAAATCTCATTTTTATTTTGGGCTCTACAGCCTTAAACAAGTCACTTGAACCTAATGTGAAATGAATTACACTTTAGTAAACAGCCTGTCATGTAGCTTGGTGTGAACCACCAATATCTGTAGAAAAAAAGAAGTGTTACTGTCAGCACGGGGCTTCAACGTGAATGCTGGCCCAACTGTAACTAGGAGACAGAGCTAAAAAAATCCCACAAAGTTACGTAAAAGATCCTCAGCACAATAAAACAGGAACTAACATATGAATCAGCTCCTTAAGCACTGGAAGGGAAAACAAACAAAAATACAGGTACACAAGACTGTCACATTACATACCAAGGTTTCATTTGTCACCATTGCTTGAAGCCAATTGAAATCAACACTTTTAAACAAAACAGCCACAAACAAGCTTGCAGGAGGATACTCATGTTCAGAAAGGGGGGCTCCTTCTGGGTAAGTCATCCTTATAGTCGTTTTGTTACCAACGTCATCTGTGTATCCTTGAACTGGTGCATCATTTAACCTAGGGAAAAAAAAACCACAATGGTGATAAATTATATTTAATAAACACAGGTTATAATCTCATTAAAATATCAGACACTAAGCAAAACCTTGTTATTCAGCCACAGATTTTTAACAAAACACAGTACAGTGTTTTCTCAGAGGCTCTATGTTCATCTCGCGCACTCATCCTGCCCTTATCTTTGGGAGGAAGCCAATTCTATTTCTACATTAAATGGCACAAGTGCAAAACTTTGAAAAGATTGAACAGAAAAGTAACTCAAAACAGCATTGCAGAAGTTCCTGTCTACTGACTTGTGTCAACTCAAGAGGCTTAAAAGAGGAAGGGAAAGAAAACACACAGAAAGTTGCCTGTGTTATCCTTTTCAGATATATACATATATACACACACACGTACACACAAACTCACATGAGTATTCCACACAGAAAAGCATTCAAATTATCCCTGCAATGCAGTGTAATGCATCCTATGGGTTTATATCATTCCAGCTCACCAAAAATTTAAATGCTGGCACACTGCAGACCAGAGCAACATCATCCTACTCCATCAGTTCTGCAGAACAGTGTTAAGTCCTGCAAACTTTTCTGTATCAACACCTTCACACTGCCAGCCCTAATCTTCAGACAACAGCTAACACAAGTTCTCTGCCCCTGCACATGCTAACACAGGTTTGTTTACCTTTGTATAAGAGCTACTGACTCAATGAAATCTTCCCTTTATAATAGGAGTAAGCCATACTTTACAAAACAAGCTGGGAAACTGCTTCTATTAAATTTACTTGTGACTTTACATGAATAAAAACAAGAAGGAGAGTTCAAAGAGCAATGTTTAGAAGGCACAAATACAGAGCACATAATCCAGATGTTAAAAAATATGCACAATCACAGAAAGCATGTGCTGATCTTGCAAAGATCAGGGAAGATAAGTGTGCTATAAAGGCATAAGCAAACACCAGTGCATACTGAAACACCAATTAATGTGTTTGAAATAGGGGTTATAAAAAAAACAGTTCAAATAAGGATCCCAACTAGACAAGGGGAAAAAAAAATCACAGGTGAGTCCTCTGAAAGCATGAACATATGAATGGATAAAATCATAACTGTCTACTTGTCTATGATTTCACTGGTTTCTATCTCATTTCTGCCCATGGGGGGTTTTTTGTATCTGAAGTCCACAAATAATTACACTGAATTCCTGGCTTGCAAACACGACAATTTATTTTGCTCCTAAGACTTCAAATTCTATCAAGCCACAAGTAAATTTACCAAAAGCACTTTCAGAAAGTCCTACGAGTTGCATAAATGTTGGAGATACTCTTCTCTTAAAAAGAAAAAAAAGTTGGCTCATATAGTAATGTTGAAGTAGTTGGAATCCTTAAATGGAAAATATGTACCTTATAACAATATCAAACTGATTCAGTAAGTGACCCAGCTCTGATCCATGAAGAATTCCACCACTGCCAACAACAACACAACGCTTACAGTGTTTTGACTTCAAATCTTCTGGTAAATCATGCTCAGGTAAGAGTTCGAGAAGATTTTTAAGCTTGTCAAAAAACTTGTGAAATCCAAATGGAGGTTCATATTTAAACAAAGCTTCATCTTCATTTACATTTTTCCTTACAAAGGGAGATACGTCCATGCTATATTTCTCTGCAAATAACCTGCTCATTTCTTTCTTCACGTAAGAAGGTCGGCATTGCTCCTGCAATGCGGCGCTGGCATATTGCTGTGCTCTCTGAAACAAAACACACACAATTTCAGTCAGGAAAGCCAGCTGCAGGAATGTACAAACCCTCTCAGTGCGACCCACCAGCACTTTAGCAAACACAGGGGTTTATTAAAAAAGTTTAAATGTGGAAGTACAACATCTTTTAAAGTATTTAATCAAACGCAGATACTAACGAGTGCAGGGTGAAAAGCTGCTAAGGAATGCCCCTCCACGCAATCACTTGAGCCTAGATATGAGGTTCCTAAAGGATAAATTAGGCTAGTAGAACTGCTAAGTGAAAACGAGCTGTTTGAGAACATTTGTACTATTATTTACAACAACAAATAATAAAAAAAAAAAAAGCTAGAACATATGTCTGCCTGCCTAATTCAGCAGCAGGTAGAATTCTACCTCACTGCTCAACGGCATGACACCTGAGTTCTGCCTGTGGTAGGATTACACCAGAGACACATCCACTGGGTTAAAGTGCTGTGAAACAGCAGGTTGGACTTGCTTAGTAGTCAGAATGAAGCAACACTTCTTTCATAAGCATTGCTGAAACGCTATTGTGAACGACTAAGACAGGATTTTAGAAAGAATGCAAGGTGGAGGTGTTTTGAGTCTTCTCTCAAAGACCAGCCACCAAAATAAAAGACTACAGTTCTATATAGCATAAAAAGATTAAACTGTCAGATGAAACTACACATTGATCCATTTCACAATAAAAGCAAAACACTACTCATTATGTCTTTAAAAATCTGTAACAGCAAGCAAACATCTGATGTGAGGAAGAAGAGAAACAGAAAAGATATTACTTTTATCCATTAAATAAAATCTTGTTTTCATGTTCTCTTCCCCAATAAGCTCTGTAGTGTTTTCCTCCACTTTAATTAAAAGGAACATGAGCAAACACAGGGGTCAGAGTCTAAAGATTCAAGTCTAGTGCTAATTTAGTTCTCCTGTACTGCTAAGGAACAGGAAGTGTTTATCTGGGAGCACAAGGAGGGAAGTTGTGCTGCTCTTTTTCACTTCTTTTTCTTTTCAACCAAGATTAATCTACAGAACTGCCTCTACCACGCAGAACTTTTCTGCAAGTTTGGGCATAAACACTACACTGGGCAAAGCACAACTGAGCAACTTTGTGTTGCTGTACTTTGTTGGCAGGACTCAGTGTATCTTTGGAAGAGTCTCATTTTTAAGCCTGACACCTATCAGTAAAAATTAATGCCACTCACATGGCAACTGCCCCAAATAGTTTGTAATTAGCTACTACCTAACTACATCAGAGCAATCCTCTTTTCTTCATCCTGCACCTAACACAAACAAAATGAATCATGAGACAGCAATAAGCACACCCCATGCAGTCTTTAGGTTTGCTTGGCTTAAGGTGTTTGCTCTTCAGAATCAAGAACATGTTACTGAAAAAACAAATGAGTCAAATGAGAGGAAAAGGGGAGGCAAAGAGGCTCAGAAGGGGAAATACATGCACTGAAGATGGTGGGAGGTGGGGGAAGATACACTTGCAGTAATGTTATAAGACTGTCTTAAATCAAGGTTTCTGCTGGAAGTTGTGTCTTAGCATTGAGACATTCAAAGCTAGAAATGTAACAGCTCTAAGCCAGGTAAGTTCTGTTATAAAGTGAAAACAGGCTAAGTAGCAAAGGCTTTAGTGGTGTCTGTTACACTGGCTTAAAAGGCACATGCAAAACTGTACATAAAGTACATAGCTGCTACCTTAAATGAATAAATTAAATAATAGCTGCACCCTCCTGCACATTTGCCCTGTGATTCCAAAAACATCTGACCAACTATGAGTCAAAGCAGACCAGGCAGATGGCTTAGGTAAAAAAAAAAAAAAAAAATTGGTTTAATGTGTTGGGTTTGGGTTGTTGTTGTGTGGAGTTTTTTTTGATACGTTACTTTTCACTTGCATCAATTTTCTGATCACCAGTGTCATCTGCACTGACACAACAGCAGGACTGACACGTCCATTTCAAATGTTAAAGTCACAGTTACATCATTTTACCCCTAAAAATCCAGTTTCTCTATGCACTCCTGTTGTCGTTCCACAAGAACAAAACCCAGAAGTTCTATGGCATGAAATGAAGCATAACATATTTTCCCTCACAGAAAAATGTCAGCATTCTAGTTCTTTGTTGTAGAGCCCTATAACTCTTACATTGTCAATTAATAACCTTTTTTTTTTTTATTCCAAGTGAAAAAAAAAAGCAAGCCAAAAAATACCAACCCTTACACGATCGAGGTCCACATACGGCATTTTTGTTCTGTCACATTCTTCAGGGCCAAAACGTAATTTGAGGATATAAAGGAAGCACCCTCCGACCACAAAGAGTACAAGAACTCTAAAAACAAACAGGAGGGTGAGGCGTAAGAGAGAAAAATAAAAAATAATCTTTTTTTCCAGCGTTCAATCAACCATTAAATCAATATGTTTAAGCAAATTTAGGACAGTTGAATACTTGCATTTGAATCAAACCAAAAAAACCTGTTGCTTTGTTCACTCCAAATCTTTCACAACTCTTCAGAGCTATCTGCAGGAAAGTATGAACATATGCAGATGCTTTGATAAGGAACATGTTGCCTGCATTATATACTCGAAATGCTCTGATGAGTCAATCAACTCTCCTCACAAAAAGAAGCAAAGAGTGACTATTGTTTTCTTCCGTAAAGGGCAACTCTATCTTGGATTATGTATTTTCATGCAAGTTGAGAAGAAGAATGGAACTTCAAATTGCATGATTTTGGGCCAATGGCAACCACTGAAACAAAACTTCCAACTTGCTGGCAGGACACAATGCAGAATTTAGACGTTCAGGTTTATACTGAGAAGCCTAACTTGGTTATTTACACCCCCAAAACACGGAGAAGAAAGAAAAAAAAAAAACCAACAAACTTTAAAATTGAATAACACAGACTATCTGTATTTTTGATCTACTGATTTCTCATTCCTAAGGAACACCACTCACTGTTGATGTCAAAATAGTCGCTTAACTCATTTCATGTCTAAACCAATCTGTAAAAAAATTGCATCATTATTTGGTTAGAGTTCTGGTTGTTGCTCAAGTATGTAGTTTGAGCTTTATAACTGATTTTCACTTCCCATGGTCTCCTAAGGACCAGACGTTTGTTTAAACATCTTTACAAAATATACAACTTACTAAGTGTCCAGTGCTTCTTGAAATCATTTCAGATGAAGTTAACACAGATTTTCATTTTTCTTTAAAAAAAAGTTTGTAGCATATGAACTAATAGATGCAATCTTGACAGTCAGTTTGCAGTACAGGCTACAAACAAGGTGACCCCTGGAAAAGCAGCACTGTTCTCACATCTCATTTAAATAAATTAAATCTTGCACTGACAGGTGGCCTAAAACCTTCATTAGCATGTTAGGTTGCAACCCCTGGAAATCAGAAAGCAGGGGATTCACAGCAGATGAATGAGGCTGGTTTTCACCCACAGAAGTTTATCAAGTATCCCCAGATTCAGCTGGGGCTGCACCATTCAGGTGCACAAAACACCTATGGATATAATTGCTTGGGTTTGGGTTTTTTAAGCTCTAGGACCCAAAAATTAATGTGGCATCAGACTAGTGAACTTTTTTGGTGTAAAATATGGTTCTGGATGCACATGAGCACATATTTATTAAATATAATTTGATGTCAAGTTATAAACAATGGAGTAAGATTTTTGATGCAGCATTTCAGAAGTCTTCATAAACAAAGTAACTACAAGGAAACACCTCCCCAAAATACCCACTCAGCATCTGCTGGCCTTCAAAGCCTTGACACTGGGACTTTTCTGGATACAAAAAAAGAACTGGAAATGCCCCTGAGCAAAGTACTAGGATCTCACTTTGGCTTGGGCATACAGGTACTACAAGGAGTGAGCTCAGGCTCTTAAAAGGGTTTTCAGTGCCCCAGGGAAAGCTGTGTGCCCAACCCTCCATCCAGTGCCTGTGGCAACCTCACGCCTTGATTTCTGCATCCTTTTTGTAACTGTCCAGGCTACGGGAAGAACAACTGACCCCTATGTTGCTGTGACAATGACACTTACTTGCAAGTACCTTTTAAAAACCAGCTTGGTCTTCTCATCTTCACGTGCAGCCACCTTACACCATTGCACAGGAGGTGAATGATCACTTTTCAGCTTCACAGCATTACTGTCACTCAGCATTGCTGTAAAAAAAAAATTATCATAAAAAAGTTGACAGGATGTCCACAGACTGACAACTTTGTTTCCCGAAGACTGTGATTCTTAATTACAGTATCAGGAATACTGAATTGTTCCTTATCTCCTCGTGATCAATAACACATTCATTTCAGCTGCACCACCAGAACATGATTCTAAAAATGCTGCCAGGCACTGATCTGTGCATTCTTCATCAGAAGCCTGAAGTCTAATAATTGCAATTACATCAGTTACTGTCAAACACTTCTGTTTGATCTGGTCAAACACACTCCAGACAGGGGAAAAAAAAAATAACGTATACAATATGCTCAGGGTATTTAGGATCCCTGAATCAAAATCAAATCCCTGCACTACACTACCCTGCAGGCTTCAAAGATGCTCACAGCATGCAGAGCCTGTACATGCCATCCTCAAAACTGGAACCCACGTTTCAAATCAACTCCCCGGTTTCCCCAAGGTTCAGCAAACCTGACTCATCATCATTGCTCTGAATCTAATACTGACCTCTTCAGCAGCCCCAACAACACAGCCAGCAACTTCAACAGCAAGTACTGAAGAGAGTGTGGAGAAGGTTTTCCCTGGCACAAGGCAGGAGCAGAAGGCTGCCAGCACAAGGGTAGTTTCTACGCACAGCAGCAGCTCCCCTCCAACAACCATCAAAGAGTGCACGGTGCTCCCTCACAGATGGGCAGGTCACTGATCATTAGCTGGCAAGAAGCAAGCTCGCTGCTTACCTTGTGTAAGCTCCCATGAATTTCTGTCAGCACACTCCAGTTCTGATTTTGGAAAGGAAAATGCAGGCTGGCACATCAACTTCTCACCATCAACCAAAGATGTGAACAAACAAGGAAACACTGTGCTAAGCCTACCCCTATGAGCCTGCTGGTTTTCCCTTGAAAGGAGAAGGGATATGGATAAGGGTGTTTCCTACCCACCCTTGGCAGCACTCCCTTTGATGAGCCAACCATAGAAGGGTGCAACCTGCTCCTCCATAGTGGAGGATTTCAGCCCTACTCATTCCCTTTGATCTCGGTGCTTGCCCCTCTCTGCTGCAAAGGTCCTCTTCAGCTCTCCTGCCAAGAGCTCTGTCACAAAAACTATTTAAAAAAAAAAAAAAGCAAGGCTAAGGGAAGGCTTTCATTTAGGGATCCCAGTTCACAGAATATTCTGAGTTGGAAGGGACCCATAAGGATCATCAAGTCCAACTCTTAAGTGAATGGCCTACAGGGGGATCAAACCCACAACCCTGCTGTTATTAGCACCATGCTCTAACCAACTGAGCTATTCTCAGGGATGATCTTCCACATTCTCTTTTCCACCTCTTTTTATTTTATATAGTGATATGACCCACTTGAAACCTCTACAAATCTCTACAAGCCTCTACAAACACTTTGTTTGGATGAACAACTGATGTTCTTAAACACTAGGATGAAGGAGCTGAGGAGACAGAAGCATCCCCTCCAGAACTCAAATCCAGGCCACTGAAATTTCAAGGGTATCTAATTCAGAACTAAGTCTCTTTGCACAGTCATGCATCATTTCTCAGTAATAAATTTGGTATGCACAGCAGAAGGTCAAATAACACAAGCCACTGTGAGACAGGGTGCGACAACCAGAGATAAAGATCGATAACAGCATCTGAAGTCTTCTGAAGAGGAGACATCAAGTGATGCTTTCAGGGTGACATGCAGGTGATAATAACTCACAAAACAGAGCAAGGCAAAAAAGTCCTAATGGTTTTTGACCGCAGGAAACCTCAAACATAGGTTATTATGGCATTGCTAAGAACCTCAAATTACTCACCTAGCTGTATTTACTAATTGCACAGGCTCTCTGAGCTCTCACATCCGTTTGCAGGCCTTTGTCACAAAGCTGCAGAATCTTAAACAGCCCCTTTTAGCAGATCTGAAAGCACTGTACAAACTGAAGTCAGTAGCATTATGCTTGTCTAGGAACAGGGTAAACTGAAGCCTAAGGGGTAAGTGACATCCCACAGTCCCCCAGAATTCTAGCAATTAAGCTGGAAATTGAATACAGCTCCTGTCTCCCACACAACCTGTCAAGGACACAAGTCAGCAGGTCACAAGGAAGCTATCAAGCCTTAGAAGCTTCTCCTTTTCTCAGAACAGCACCTCATCTCTATTGCCTCCATCTATACCACTGAATAAAAACTGCATTGAGGAGCAAAACTGGGTGTTGACACTACCACCCCAGTCATCCACATCACAAGCCCAGTTTGCTCTCAACTAAGAATTGCAGCAAATCAGTCAAGTCCACATGAGTAAAGGCATCAACAAAATTTGTTACAAGGACCATACCCTAGTGTTAGTTATGGATCACCAAGTTGAACTGTTCTACCTTGAGATGTTCAGTGCCAATCCAGCAGGACTTGTACAATCACCTTTTATTCCATGTATGACACATGTTCTTCCTGCCACACTACACAGACAAGTCAGCTCAGCAGCCCTCATCCAGCACCTTCATACTACAGGACCCGGTACTTTCACACCAACACACCTTGAGATGCCAGGTATCCATAGGGATCATTTTGCCAGCATGCACAGGGAGCAGCCCCAGCTCATGGAACCTGTAAGCACGATCACACCAAACAAGAGGTGATCAGAGGACGCTGCAGAGCTGTGGAGGAGAGCGTGAACAAGGCCTGCAGACCATGTGGAAGTTCCAGGATCACTCCACGCAGTGCAGAGAGTACACTCCATCAGATCACCTCAGAGGAGACTGTCTCAGACCAGCACCAACAGGCGGCACCCAGTACTGTTTGGGAAAGGGAAGGGGATCTCTCACCGACACGGATGGCTGACGGCAGTGACAGCGTTAAACAAGGCAACAATTGTATCTGTCAGTTCCACACATCTCCACAAACACAGCTGGGGAGAAGTATAAAATGGAACCTTACTCCTTTTTTAAAATGAAAAAGCAGGAAACAAGCTTCACCTAGAAGTCAACCTTCACTGTTCTTCACTAGAGAACAATGCAGGTAATAACTCTTGGGTAAACATAAAAAGGTAACTTGATCATAGTCTATAGGAACCTACATCAGAACGGATTCTGTGCGAAAGAATCAGTCAGACCAGGTACCACAGGATCCTGCTACCAGCAACGCGACATTGTGAGGTCTGGCCACGGTACCATTTCAGTAACATTTCTGAGGGAACATGCTTCAGGTTAACAACACATTTTCCAGCACTGTGAATCAAATCCGTAACATTTTACAGCTTGAATTCTAAGGGCAAAATTAAAGCCTCACTGCCTTAACATTGGTCAAAGCAGGTTTATACTTTTTTGCAAATTAGTCTTTCCTATTCTAGGACCCAGGTTCTCTTGTGACTTGACAGAAAGACTTACATGTGAAAGGTTGCCCAATGCAAGCATGTAAAACTTCCTCATTGCCTAACTGCACTAACATACTCCTGGAATCATCCTGCAGCAAGGAAGGACACAGCCAACCTCCTCTACTGTATAAATCAATGAGAGCGTCCTGCGAACACCACGCTTTGAATCATACTTTTCATGAAGCCTTTCAAAACAAAGGGAAGGCTGCAAGAGATCTGAAATATGAGGAAGGAACTGAAGAGGTGGAAAGTGATGAAGACAGAAGGGAATTAAACAGGAATGCAAGACTACAATAAGCTAGTGGTATCAGAAAGTCTTCCCCGCCTCTGAGCAAAATAAATTCCAGCTGTCCTCAAACAGTTGCTTCACTCATCCCGGATGTGGAAAAAAACCCCAAGAAAACAGACAATTTAATTAATCACCTCAGTACATCCTTTCCAAGTCCAACTCTTAGTAGGCACAACTTTTTATTTTTTATATTGTTTATATAACTGATATAATTTCAGTTTTCATTTCCACAGCAACACACTTTTCTCAGTTCTGTTCCCTACAGATGATTCCTTTCTCAAACAGATCAATATATATAGACAGATACATACATATATCAAGTCAAAATGGATCTATCCAACGCAGCTTTTTTTTTTTTTTTCAGTTACTCAGGGCTGGATCCTGCAGTCTTTGTTGAAGTCAATAAGCCCCTTCCACCGGCTGGAATGGTGTAAGAGTGTTCAAAAGAGCAAGGTAGCAGTAACAAGCACCTTGGAGTGCACCTTTCCCAAAGTCTTCCTGAGTTCAAAAAAAAATAAATCTGTGAGTTTGCAGAGAGAACCAGGGCAGTTAAGATACCAAGAGCACCAAAGAGCTGTTGCATACAAACACCACTGCACTCCTCCAGAAAGGGGCCCTGGTACAGTTGTTTAGAGAGCCATAAATGCAAATGTCTCAATCTGCATACAAAAGATGGCTCAGTAGAACTGCTGTGTTACAATCACATTTTGCATTGATGTTTCTATAGCTACTCATAGTGGTGCAATTAGTGAGAACTCAGGGGATTTAAATTTGCTTTTCATCTGCTGAACTTAAGTGCTCTGTGCAAAGCTGCTTCAAAGGATAAATTCTCCATCGGTAGAACATACTCCAAAGTTTTTTGTGGTGTTATTATTTTCACCATAATTTACTTCTGTCTCATTGTTATTCTTAAGTAGACAAAATTTCCACACTTGGAATATTTCAGAAGCAATTAATTTAAGCCTTTGGGATTGCTCTTTATATGGGGCAACTCCAGGCTTTGTGGGCAAGAGACACCATCTGTTCTAAGAGTTGTACAGCATCCAGCACAACATCATCTTAGACGACACCTGAAGCTCCTAAGAGTTGAAAATACAAGTTAACTTTCCCTTCCCACGGCACCACCACAAGCATAGAAACACACAGCTTTACAAGTCAGTCGATATCAGGGTCTTGCTGCACAATGCAGCCTTTGAGGTTCACATAAAGAGATCAAGGGGCTGCAGTGCAGAGCCCACAGCAAATGAAACCTGAAAGTCACCCTTATATAATGGAATTACTAATCACAAATGACGAGGCTCGAGCAGGCATTGAAACAGAAGGTGAAACTAATGCAAAAAATACCCGAAACCCACCTGGCTCCTTTCATGCCTTCTCCTCTAAATCAGATTCACATAAGTTACCTAAGAAACATACCTCCAAAACCAGTAAACGATAAGATGAAAGCTACCTGGTTTTGAGCAACATTTGCTTCAAAAAAGAAAGGCAAAGTTAAAAGGCAGAGAAGGTGTTTTCACAAGGAATTAACTGGAGCAAGGTACTCTTTATTGAGATGGGACATTAAATTTCAGCAATGACCTCTGCATGAGCTTCTTGTTCTGTGGCTTTTAAAACCAACAACAACCAGAAAAACCACCTCAGTTATATGGCAAAACTTTATGCAAGGAAGAAGTTAGAAGAAAAAAATTAAGAAAACTTAAACGTAATTTCAGATTGTTTCCTGGGACACATTTGGAGAAAAAAGATGACAAAAACCTAACTGACAACTACAACACAGTGTCTGTGATTACCTGCAAGAGTTGGGCCCGTGAAAAGTAACACATTTCAATCCCTTCTCACTATCGACCAAATAGATGAGATAATAATTTTCATTAAGGCTTTCAAAATTGATACAGTATTTTAAGTAGAAAGTTATTTATTTATGTAAAAACATGAAAAATAAGTTTGGTAAAATTGACAGTTAGGATTAATTTTGTTTGCCTCTGCAGTACTGAAACCCACAGAGATCAAAACATAAGGGCTGAGACATTAAAAAAATAGTAGTGGCTAATTAGGTTGTAGCTTTTCTAGTTTATGCTTCAAAACCAGATGAACAGCAGAGCCTCTTGCATGAAGATACCTAAGAATACATAAACTTTAACTTCTTGATCTTCCGTTCCTAAGACAGCCATTTCAAAACAGATTCAGAAATCAGCATAAAACTCTCCCCGTTCCCACATCCACCCGAAATTCGTTCAGCCCTCTTTACTGGGCAAACCAGTCTTGATTCAGGGAATTTCAAAGTAATGTAATTTTTCTGTCAACGAATACAACTGCTAACCATCAATTCTAATATTGAGAAAAAGAAAACAACCTAACACGAGGGTTTCCTTTCCTTTCACAAGCTAAACTTAAGCCAAACACTCCTCCTTCTCCCCTCCTTGCCTCAATTTCCCTTATTTTTGCCAGAGTTACATGGAGCCTGTCACTGCTCTTTTGGTCAGCTGACAAGCAGTGCAGGAGCTGGAGTCAGGTGAATAACGTTTTCTGTCTGCAGCTCCTCTGTGATTTTCACTATTTCCTGTGCTCTTCTGAGCTCCTTACCAGCTTACCGGCTCTGGCAAAGGTGGCCCTCAAGTCCCTCAGGGTGTTCCTCCTCCAGGACTCTCCCTCCCAAGTCTCCTTATCAGAGCATGATGCCTTCAAACCCTTCCCACGCTTTCAGACTTCATCATCCTTTCACGGGAAACAATAAGCCATAATGAAATAAATTTTGCAAATAACCTCTATCTGTTTACATAAAACACGATAAATAATTTTATTTTTAAAAACCAATAGCAGATCAAGCTTCATCCCAATAATATTTTTTTTTTTTGGAGGCGAACTGGTAATACAAAGAATAAAAGAGCTGAAGCTTAGGAGTGTTAGCTGTGCACCCCATTTATACATACACAAAGGACTCTGCAGTCACAAGTGTTGTACAGTCTAACTGTTGCCTTACAACTGCAATTATTTTTATCCACCCAAAACAGAGTATTTCTTAAACACAAAAAAAATTTGGAAACATACTATCTTCTGACTTAGAGAATTTGTTATTAAAAAACCCCAATCAATCTGAAAAAAGCATATGATCATCCTCTAGCAAGAGGCATTCCAGAAACTGCAATATAGTGAAGGACTGCCTCACTTTCAGAGAATGTTCTAGGTTGGAAGGGAGCTTAAATATCAGCCAGTTCCATCCCTCTACCATGGGCAGGGACACCTTCCACTAGAGGAGGCTGCTCAAAGCCCCACCCTACCTGATCTTGAACACTTTCAGGAATGAGGCATCCACAGCTTATTTGGGCAACCTGTGCCAGTGCTTCACTACCCTCATAGAAAATAATTTCCTCCTAAGATCTAATCTAAACCTGCCCTCTGTCAGTTTGAAGCCATTCCCACTTGCCCTGACACTACTAAACCTTGTCAAAAGTCCCTCCCAGCTTTTTTGTAGCCCTTTTTGGTACTGGAAGGTGCTCTAAGTTCTCCCTGGAGCCTTCTCTTCTCCAGGCTGAACAACCCCAGCCCTTTCAGCCTTTCTCTGTAAAAGGGGTTCTCCAGCTCTCTGAACTTCTCTGTGACCTCCCCTGGACTCACTCCAGCAGATCCTCATCCTTCCTGCACTGGGGCCCCCAGAGCTGGATGCAGCACTCCAGGTGGGGTCTCACCAGAGCAGAGGGACAAAATCCCCTCCCTCGACCTGCTGCCCACACTGCTTTTGATGCAGCCCAGAACACGGTTGGGTTCTGGGCTGTCAAAGCACAAGGCCAGCTCATTCCAAGCTTCTCATCTCCCAGCAGGCCCAAGTCCTTCTCCTCAGGGCTGCTCTCAATCCACTCTCTGCTCAGCCTGTATTTGTGCTTTGGATTGCCCTGACCAGCTCCAGGACCTTGACTGAACTTCATGAGGTCAACTTTCCAATGACTTGTGCAGAAATTAATCCAAATTTTAAAGCCAAAATTTAAACACAGATTTAATGGATCAGGAAAGCTAACAACTTGCCCAGATGTTGAAATTGGAATCAAAATCTATACAAGAAAAGTAAAAAGCCTTTTATCTGGATGGCTCCATTTGCCCATAGCGACAAAATACTCAGGAAAAGTAGGGAGAGAAGAGGAACAGACAAGTTATCCCAAAGGAACTGTTTCCGATTGAAAAATCGCTTTCTATAACACAATAAACATTGAAATATCTTCTTACAGGACTTTTGTTCAATCGTACATGACCAAAAACCTTAAAAACCACAAGCATGAGGAAAAATTCCAATGATACTAATGATTTGAGGGAGACTTATCAGGAACATGCTAAAGCATGAGAGACTCTTGTGTTATAAGCTATGGCAATGTATTCACTGTTGGATATTTATCTTCAAATAATCTTCTGATCACCATCCTACCACTTCCTATCCCAAGACATAAAAGAGACAAAAGCCAGGGAGCTGTTGCTGATTAGGGACTGACAACTTCTTGCCAAAGAAAAAAAAATTAAGCTAAAGTTAAAAATTAGACACTTCTGTCAATTATTTATTCATCTACAACAATATAAATCCTATAGTTAAGTTTGTATTCTAACATATTCAGATAGTTCAAAAACTTTCCTTGAATATTATTTGCTTAGTGCCTATTACTACTGAATAAAAAAAGCATTTGACAAGATACCTGTTCTAATGAACAGAGTCAGTTGTTTTGGTTAATTGAAGAATACATCCTTGATGGCAAAAAACTCTTTAGCCTATAATATGGTTATAAGCACTTACAGAGGGACATTATGCACCAGTGTAATCAATGTGTCTTAGAAAATGAACTTTGAATGGAAAGGCTTTTTAATCAGACAATAGAAAGTAAAAACCTATGTCATCTGTACAACCTGCAGTTCATTTGGTCAAGATCTTCCTCCTCAGAAAATACGAATTTATTACTGCACGCATGTGTGTGGACACAACTGGTAAAAAGTGAAATAAGGAGCAAATGACAATTTCAGAGCAGCTGACAGACACTCTCAAAGGTACTGTGAGAAATAGAAACCTAAAGCCGGGTGATTTCCAATTAGAATTTATTATATGATAAAAGCAAATTCAGCGCTGGGTGATCAGGGAGGGGTTTTAACAACTCCCAACGCCTGTCACACCCAAAGAAGACAGTTGTTCTACATTTATTTCCATCTACTTCATGAATATTCATTACACATAAGCATAAACATTACACATTGTTAAGTCAGACTTTCAACAGATGTTTTTCTTAAACAAGAATGTTATCTATAAGCATCCATAATACATTGTCAAGTCAGACATTCAGCAAATGTTTGCTTGTTATCTATACAAAGTTATAAAATTTTTGAAAGGTGTTATTATCTACCTAAATAAATAAAATTCCTTCACTATAAATCTTACACAAGGTAAAAGGGAGGTAACTGGTTTTATGTCTTTATAGGGGCCCAATTAAGTTTTACGATTTGTTTTTCTTTTCTCTCTCCAGGTTATATTGACCTTACACTGTTTTCTTTTTAATTAGCTCGAATCATCCTCTCAGTTTATCACAGTACCAACATGATGACAGGTGAAAATTATTTTGCCTGCGGTCATGAATAGCAGCAAGCAACAACAGTGCCCTAGAGGCATCATAATCTTTTTTCCCTTGCCTTAAGACACTCTACTTGTGTTTTGTTCTAATTGTTTAATGGCTCATTCCTACACCCTCTTCCCAATATCAACCACCAACTCACGAAATCATTAACAACCTTACGTAATTGTGTCTATTTGCCCAGTTTTTTCCTTCGGGAAGGAAACACATAACTAGGCTACAACTTGCTCTTAGTCTTGGGTCATCCAGATAGAACACACACAAAAAAATGGTTCCAGCTCAAATCCAGACCAATTATCAGCTTAATGAGAGATAGAGTGAAACGCCACCACTTCCTTTCAGCAGCATTCACAGTAAGCTTTTTAGACATTAACAGTGCCTGCTAAAATAATGTTATAAGAAAAGAACTCTTAATGAGGTTCTAAGCGATAGTTCAATGTTCAAAACAGGGATACTCTCTTAATTTCACTTCTGGCTTGGCACCCTCTTCTCTATCAAGTTTTCCAGACTTTTCTGTGAAACCTCTTTCAGGTGCCCTGAAGTGAGGGACAGCAAAAAAATGTAATAAATAAACACCAGAAATATCAACAAGATGTGCTTCAACACTTAAGAGGGCTGCTGATGCTTTGTGACAGATGAAACCAGTACCTGGATTTGGAATTTTTCTGATTCCCGAGTAAGCAAGAGAAAGTCAAGTGTCGCAGCCAAGCAGGAAGAAACAGGTGAGTTAAAGCACTGCTGTTGGGAACAGTGTGATATGAAAAAGATAAGTTTATTTCTTACAAGGGAAGCTTCTTAGACCCCCTCGTCCCTTTTTCTTCTGCAGGAAATCCCAGTTTTCCCCTCCATGATACTTGTGTAAGAAAGACTGGCCTGCCTGCTCTGGATGTTCATAACCTGATGTCAGCCACTCCTCAGGATCTGCTGAAGCCAAACACACACGGTGAATGAACCGCAGTGTAACAGCAGGCAGCTGCTTCTCAGAAACTCCTCCTGTGCACATCTCACGTGCTCCTTTCACATCCTTCTCCCCACAGACCCACACCAGAGGAAGCACTGCACCACTCCAGCACTTTGGGGAAGAGCCACACAGCCAGGAAGGGAGGAAAAGAGCCCAGTGTATCAGCACATCACCCCCTACCAGCTGGGCAAGCTCATGGCACACAAGCAGAAGATATTTCCGAGCCCCTGCAAGGAAGCCAAAACAAATTAGGTCTTTCCCCTTACATGGGAAGTTTGAGGAATAAATCTTTCCTAAAAGAAATGGTCAGAAAAGACCATTAATCATGGCATTAATCTTTACCGAGCTAAGGAAACATGCCTTTTTCAACACAGCCAAGATGTTTCATATTACATCTGAATTATGGAGCAGAATAGCACTGAACAACTGGTAATTATGGAACAATGCTAACAGCACAGCAGCATTTTTACCAGAGTATCATCTAACAACACTTCAAGAGATCATGGTAAAATCACACTTGAGCCGACAGAAGCAAAAGAAGAGATGCCAAAAGCCTCCTGTGAAGAAAAGGCTAGAAGGGAAACTACAATACAGCAAAGAACACTGCTGGAACCAATTTTAATGCTTAACTTCTGAATCCAAGACTTCAGGACCTAACAGGTAGCAGAGAGCGCTGATGGGATGGGTGAAGGAAGAGCTTCTCCCAAGGATAACAGAGAGCTTCGCTTGTCCAGCTTTGCAAAAACAGGTTGAGAGTCTGTCCTTAGATACACCAAACATGTAAACAAAGCTAAAAGCAAACAATTCAAACAAAAGCACAACGTTAACACACAGGAAAAAGCGGACATAAATAAATAGGGACTAGGAGCAAAAGATTCCTGAGTGGCAAAGGAATAGCCCTCCCATAGAAGTAATGGAAAATAACAGACTACACGAGTTTTAAGGAAGTCCATAATAAATTAAGAATAACTTTATGAGAGCTGCCTGTCACAGGGAAGACTCATGTCCGAATTAGAGTTGGGTGGTTTTGAAGCTCTGGATGCGCCTGCTGAAGATGCTTTCATCTGTTTTATTTGAGCAGGTTTCATTCAGACTCACTTGTAGCCTGAAAATAATGCCATGACAAGTTTGAAGCACTGTCTGGATCTTATTCAGTACATTAGCCTTTACCAAAAAATTCAAGAGCTACTTAAGTTTTACAGGCTCTCTCATCTAAACAAAACAACTTGCCCTCCAAGTATTCCAACTTCACAGCAGTCTTGGCACATTTGATATCCGTCACCTAAACTGATGTACACAAAGCAAATGAAACTGAACATTTTTAGCCCGTTCTCTTCAATAAAAGGAAGTTTCTACTACCGCAATTTGTCTTCTTACATCCTGGCCCTAACTGCCTATCAATCACTTGGCCAATTTAATGAAACTCCACGGAAAGGAGGATGATAAACGCTAAGAAGTTCCAGGAAACCCGAGGTGGGATGAGCTCATTTCTCATCAGCCCAGAGGAAGCAGAAATTGCACTAAAACGCTTTCATGCACTAACCCTCCAGCTGCATTTTGACCTTTTAAGACATTCCCTCAGTCTGGCTAGCAGAGGGCTTGGGAGACAGCTCAAGATTTCCTGCTGTGTGATCTAGAAGGGAGATAGTAACCTCGCTGCAGCAGATGGAATAACAGTCTGCAGGGAAAACACCCCTCATAAACCGCATCTGGACAGTCTGATCCTGAACTGCGTTTAAAAACACCTATCCACTTTAGAGACATAAAGAATATCCTCTACAAGTTTTCTTTGGAAAAACAAAAAACATGCACCTTAATCCACCCTTTTTTCCCCAGAAAGAGACAAAGCCAGCCATTTTCCACAGGGAAGCTGTTTACATCCAGTAATTTTATGATTCATTTCCTATTCATTTCCATAACTAAAGAGAGCGGTAAAACAAACATGCCTCCTCCATCAGCCTCATGTTTTGATCTTGCCTAATTAAATAATAAATAAGCAAAGCTGAGCACACATGCAAAAAAAAATTAAAAAAAAAAAAAAAGAAGGAAGAAAACCAAACGAAAGTCTTTTTCGTGAGCAGTACTGAAGAAAACGAAAAGGTTTTGGCAGCAACAGCAGAAGCCGTATCTGTTTTGCACTCGCATCACTCCAAGCATGAAGAGAGAAAATCACCCACAAAAAGCCTATCGCATCCCGCAGACAGGCAGAAGCCTATAAATTCTAATCCGGAGGCACACCCGAAGACAGCCGCCGCTACATCCTCTCCCTCCCTCAAGACAAACGCGGCTCCCATCGCCCATCGGCCCCGAGCACTCCCGCAGCCCCACCTCCCCCGGCCCGGGCGCGCCGGTGCCTTCCCCGGAGGGAGCTCCGGCGCTGGTGGGGTTGCGGTGGTGGTGGGGGGGGCAGGCAGATACCGCGGACTGCAGGCCCCGCGCCGGGCCTCCCCCTGCACTGACCACCCCCATCCCCCCGCCTTCTCTCTCCCCGTTTCCCGGTGCCCCCCGTGCCGGCAGCCCCTCGGTACCTGCGCCGTGCCCGGGCCGGTGTCTCCTCATGGGCGCGGGGCGGCCCCGCCGCAGGTAGCGGGGCCGGCGCGCGGGCGGGGGG